CTTTCCAACACTTTACCCACAACCGAAGTAAGGCTCACTGGTCTATATGTCTTCAATGCTATGATGGTAACTGCTTATACTACCCTTATAGGCAATGCGTTCCAGATTCCCACAACCTTCTGGTGGGTGAAAAAGATCTTCCTCACATCTCATCTGAACTTTCTGTCACTTAGCTTAAATCTATACCCCTTGGTTATTGATCCATCCATCAAGGGGAAAGGTTTCCTCCTGTCTACCCTCTATACTCCTCATACTTCACCAGACGAAGGAGTTACGCTACGCTCTGAAAGCATGTGATTTCAAATAAACCTGTTAGTGTTGTGTGATTTCTAACAATACTCTTCATAATTCTATACATTTCAATCACGTCCCCTCTGTCTGCTCTGCTCTAAGGAAAACAGCCCCAGTCTGCTGCAACTTTCCAAGGCTCTTCCAATGGCACCTTCCATGCCTCCTGACCTCTACCGCTCAACAGGGCGGCTGATATGTGCAAGTGCTACCATCCTCAAGTTTACTGTCATTACTTCCTGTTTGTTTACTTTGAATGGCCCTTTGCTGGTTTCTAAAATGTTCCGAAACCTTAAATGCGCTCATATTGTTTGCAACACTTAACCTAACCAAATTCTTTGCTTTATTACTTAGTAAGGCTCAGATGATACTTTCACGGAGTTATTGCCTTTCAGTGGAATGTATTTTGTTAACCTTAAGGGAATCCTGAACTAGGACTCCCAAGTCACTGTGCTTCAGATTTTAAAAGCTTTTCCCCATTTGGAAAATAGCCTATGCCTCTTCTTCCTACCCCCATAACTGCACACTTTCCAACATTATATTCTATCTGATACTACTTTACCCACTCTCCTAGCCAGCCCAAGTTCTTCTGCAGCTTCCCCACTTCCTCAACACTACCTGTCCATCCACCTATGTTTGTGTTATTTTCAAATTTAGTAACAATACCGTCAGTTCCTTTGTCCAGAATGTTAATACATAACATGAATAGTTGTGGTCCCAACATCGTCCCTGCAGAACTCCCCTAGTCACCGGCTGCCATTCCCTTTTTATTCATATTTTGTCTTACTTGTTCATTACTCCCTCAAAGACTGCTGATAGATTTGTCAGGCATGACATCCCCTAGACAAATCCATGTTGACTGAGCTCTGTTTTACCATGCATTTCTAATTGCTCTGCAATCTCATTGTTAATAATGGATTCTCAAATCTTACCAATGACCAATGCTAGGTTAACTGGCCCAAAGTTTCTGTCTTCTGTCTCCCTCCTTCTTAAACAGGGGTGTTTCGCTGGCCATTTTCCAGTCTTCTGGGTTCCTCCCTGATATTAGTGATTATTGAAAGATCACCACTAATACCTCCACAATCTCATCAGCTATCTCCTTTATAACTCTGAGATGTAGTCCATCCAGTCTGGATGATTTTATCCACCTTCAGACCTTTCAGCTTCCCCAGCACCTGCTCCTCAATGATGGTCACTACACTCCCCTCTGCCCCTGACTCTCTTGAAGTTCTGGTATACTACTGGTGTCTTCCACTGTGAAGACTGATGCAAAGTACCTATTCAATTCCTCCACCAATTCTTCGTTCCCCATTACTATTTCTCCAGCTTCATTTCCCAGCAGTCAAGTGTCCATTCTTGCCTCTCCCTTACCTTAATAAAAACTCCTGCAATCTTCTTTTATATTACTAGCTAGTTTACCCTTAATACTACTTCCCACCCCCCCATTGCTTATTTTTTAGTTATCCTCAGCTACTTTTTAAAGGCTTGCAATTCCTCTAGCTTCCCACTAATCTTCACTATCTCGTATGCTTGTTCTCCTGCATTTATGCTGTCCTTGACTTCCCTTGACTTCCCTTGTCAGCCATGGTTGCCTGGTCCTCCCCTTAGGATGTTTCTTCCTTGGGGTGAATTTCTGCTCTGCTTCCCAAATTACTGCCAGAAACTCCTGCTTTAGCTGCTCCACTGTATTCCCTGCTACATTCCTCTTCCAATAAACTCTGGCCAGCTCCTTCCTCATGTCTTTGTAGTTAACCTTCACTGAATTATAATACTATTGCATCTGATTCCAGCTTCTCTCTGTATGACGGCAGGGTGAATTCCATCATGCTGTGGCCACTGTCCACTAGGGGTACCTTCACCTTATGCTCCCTTATCAAATTTGCCTCATCACACATCCAAGTCCAGAATCGCCTGTTCTAATGTGGATTCTACCACAAGCTGCTCCAAAAAATAATCTCATAGCCATTTCATGAATTCCTTTTCTAGGGATTTTCCCAGTCCACCTACATATTGAAGTCCCCCATGATTATTGTAATAGTACTTTCTTACTTTCCTTTTCTATCTCCTGATTTATTTTCTGCTCCACATCCTGAATACTGTTAAAGGGTCTGTGCATAACTCCCATCAGGATCTTTTCTTCCTTTGCAGTTCTTCAACTCTGCCTACACAGATACTGTGCCTTCCAACTCTATGTCTCTTCTTGCTATCGATTTAATTTCATTTCTCACTAGCAAGGCAACCTTGTTCCCTGCCGTTCTGCCTAACCATTTGATAGAACATGTATCCATGGGTATTTAGGTCCCAGTGCTGATCGCCTTGAAGCCATGTCTCTGTGATGCCTACAACATTGTACCCACTAATTTCAATCTGCTACAAGCTTATTTACCTTGTTTCATATACTGCATGCATTTAAGTACAACACTCAGTCCTCTGACCATACACCTTCTCTCAGTTGTCCCATTATCTGCTGTGCTTGAAGTTAGATTCCGCACCCTTTCCGTGCATTCTGTCTCTTATTACGTGTTTTGGAAATATAATAACCTGTGTATATCCACACCACCGCCACCACTATTCAGCCTTTCTGCTACGATCCTGGTTCAGGTGGACCCCATCCCGAAGGTACAGTTCCTTTCTCTCCTAATCCAGAAATGGAATCCCTATCTCCCACTCCCTTCACCAAATGTTTACTGCCATAATGTTCTTATCTCTATGCCAATTTGCATGTGGCTCAAGTAATAATCCAGAGATTATAACCCTTGAGGTGCTGTTCTTTAATTTTGGTTCATTGCACAACATTGGATATAAAAACAGTTCATCCTTGGCTATGGAGCAATGTATTTCTTCAAGACAGTCACAAACATTCTACAAACATCTCCAGACCAGCTTGATCAATTGAATTGGTCCAGGGTTTATCAAGACCAAAGTCCTAACAACCAATAATAATAGAGATACGGACTGCCGATTATGGAAAATCTGAGATAACAAGGTGTAGAGCTGGATGAACACAGCAGGCCAGGCAACATCAGAGGAGCAGGAAAGCTGACGTTTGGGGTCTGGACCCTTCTTCAGAAATGGGGGAGGGGAAGGGGGCTCTGAAATAAATAGAGAGAGGGGAAGGCAATGATAGAAGGTGGATAGAGGAGCAGATAGGTGGAGAGCTCTCCACCTATCCGCTCCTCTATCCACCTTCTATCATCGCCCCGCCCCACACACAGTTTATTTCAGAGCCCCCTTTCCCTCCCCGATTTCTGAAGATGGATCCAGACCTAAAACGTCAGCTTTCCTGCTCCTCTGATGCTGCCTGGCCTGCTGTGTTCATCCAGCTGTACACCCTGTTTATTTATTACAAGCTTCAATACCTGCTTGTTTAATATTCTATTTCATGATCCAAGAACAGTTAGGTAGCCTATAAACTACGCTGGCTTTTCTGAGCCTTGCTATTCTGAATCTCCAGCCAAAGCGATTCTGCTTCCTGATTTTCTGAGTCATGGTTCTATCTCACTAATGTTTTTACGTCATCCTTTATTGTGAAAGAAAAGGAAATAGAGAAAAAGGCTCAGTTCTTGGGATTTTAAGTGCAATAGACCAATTTCTAACTGTCTCCATCCAGCATGTTCTCCCTCTTTGCTGGGCCACAGTTACACTGAGGCATCCCATCTCATCCTCCCTCTTTGATAGCCCAGGGCTAAAGAGGCGAATGGTAACATTCCCCACTCTTCCCCATCTTGATTCTCAACCTGACATCAGTTAGCTTGGTGTAGACCAGGGATTGAAGCAGGAGCCTTCTCTAAACTGTTTGCCTTAACCTGTCATTCCTCACGGGGAGTGGCAGATGGAGTTTAATTTAGATAAAAGGGAAGGGTATGACTATGACTATGTACAACTTTCCTTCTCTTTGATCTCTTTTTATTCTGTATCTCCATGCAGGACATACTCAATTACATTAACAGGAAAGAGTTTGAGCCTCTTCAGAAAGTTGACCAGCTGAACTTGGAGAAGGAGAAAAACAAAATATTTCTTCGATTTTGTAAGTATGGCTGTTACATTATCTGTTGTTCACGGCTAAGGCAGGACCAGAAAGTTTGACTCCATTGGTTTCTTATATGGCCTGCCTGTAGATGAAGAGGAGATCACATTCCCTCCGACATATCGATATGAACGAGGATCCCGGGACGTATACGTTTGCCACAAACAGAAGCCCACTGGGGTACGTAATGGCTTTCCTAGTTGTTTGCAGACTTCTCATCCTTCACTGTAGCGCACCCCACCCCTCCTTGTCACTGGTGAAATTGTATAAATATTCGGAACTGCTGGTTTGCAATGAATATATATGCAACTGGATTTGTAGTCAGTCGTAGAAGGTCTCGAACTCGAGCTCATAGAAGTTTGTGAATCTTGAGAATTCTCGAGCCCAGAAAACTCTGAATGGTTGTTTGTTGCGTATATCTAAGAGTCAAAAAGTGGAGTTGAAATAGAAGATTATCCATTATCCTGTTGAATGATAGAACAGACTTGGCCTACTTGTGTTCCTACTTAATGGTTGTAAGTTCTACAGCACAAAGCCATTTGGCCCATTGTGGCTTTCCTAACACTTTGCAAGCCCTACTCCACTCTGCTCTTTTGCAGAAGATTGCAGATTCAAAAGTTATAGCAAAGTTTCAGACAGTGCATTTCAGATCATGCCAGTTGCCTTTGGTTCTGACCAGTGGTTTGAGACTGGCATTCCACTCCCCATTTGTTCCCACGAAAAGCCAGGAATCTTCCATGAGACCTAGTATTTCTCCATAATTGAGGAATTTAGCTGGGACCAAATAAATTTCAGTTTTGTAATGACCTCATATGAAATGTTTTGAACCTATTATTTCGGCATCACATTCCTTGATTCCATTCATTTTTTCCTTGTGGAAAATGGGCCAAAGGTAATGTTTGTATTTGTGTTACCGTTGACTTAGATTAAATCTTTACGTTCCAACATAAAAGACGCTTCTTAGAAAATATTGTGAATTGTCACCGTCCATTTATACTTCACAGGAGATACTTGAGAAGGAGGCCAAGAAACAGAATACACAACTATAGCAGGTGTTGGAAATTGGAAGTAAAAATAGGAAATGCTGGACAAACATTGGAGAGGGAAATGGTTCAGGTTTACAGACTTCTGTCAAAATGCATGTACGGTCATTTTTTTTTTTGGTCTGGACTCCAAGAAAATCAAGTGACCTTTCTTTGAACATGGCTCAGCTTTCACAAAGTTTGACAAATGTTCTTTTTCATTTCTGCTCCACAGCTCCAAAGTCTGATCAACACTTCACCTGATGCTGCCAGTTATATTAGTTCATTCAGCTTACTGGATTTGAGGTCTAGCACTGAAGTCACAGAAAATTAGCATCATTGGCAACTATTGGTTTTTAATGTAACTAAATGACTTGCAGTTCTGAAAAGGCTGAAAGCAAAATATTTTCAATATAAATCCTTCAATGAAGAACAAAAGTATAAGACTGAGAAAACGGTGAAGATATCCTCACTTCATAAGAGCTTCTTAACATTTCACAACATCTTTATCAAAGCATAGAGCATCGAAAAGAGGCTTTTCAGTCCATCGTGGCTGCTCTGGTTCTTCAGAAAATGTCAAGAGTTGAGGAGTAGGCAGGTAGAACTGAAGCAAGGGACACTGGCAACGTGAAGCATGATCTCTCAATTCAGAGCCTGATAGTGTAAATGAGATGGCAGTGTAAATGCAGGTGCTCTTTCCACCAACAGGTCCGCACAAATGTTCCATCGTGGTGCGACAGAATTTTGTGGAAATCGTACCCGGAGACCCACATCATTTGTAATTCATATGGTGAGTTAATGTGACCTTGATCCTGCGACAGATAATGTTGCAAGTAAGCCTCTGTTTATTACAGTGTATTCTGTTGAGTTGATTCATTATCATAAATACCAAAAGCCATTTGGTTCATGCATTGTTTTAAGATATTTAATGGTATCAAGGGAGGCTATTTGCCTCATTGTCTATTTCATGGTGAACAGCTATATAACAGCCAGTCTTAAGGCTGTGCTGTGTTTGCTTCCAACGATCTGTTCCAAAATTTGTATCATTAAATTGAAAGCGTGCTGACTTGACTAATAATGTCATCCTGTATGTGTTGGCACTTCATTGGAATATAGAAACCTCTTGGTACAATCCAGTTCACCAAGGGACAAGTGCAGGTGCACCATTATTGCACCAGTTGGAGATTGACTTGATAAACAGTTCTGTTGGATACAACAATAGTGGCCATTTATGTAATGGCTTTATAAAGTAATAAGAACTCCCAAGATGTTCCACAGGAACCTTTATTAGACAGAGAATCTGACACAGCAACATAAAGCATTAGTACAGGAACCCAAAAGCTTCATCTAAGTGGTAGACTTTAATGAGTGTCATGAAAGCAAGAGACATCTTGAATTTTATGGAGTAGATTCAAACTTAAGAGCAAAGGTGTTTGAAGCTCAGTGATAGAGTGAAGGAAATCAAGGGTATGCAAGCGGGCCAGAATTGGAGACCCACAGATACGCCAGGTATTGAAGAGCTGGAGGAGGTTATTGATGTGGGAATGGCCAGGCTACACCACTGTGGGTTTTGAATATAATTATGCAAATTTTGACTTGAGAAGTTGTATGACCAGGAATGAATGTAGGTCAGTAGGTATGGGGTTGATGGCTAAAGAGATTTTGATGCAAGCTAGAACACAGGCAGCCAAGTTTTGGATGAGCTGATGTTTTCTGTTGATCATAAGCCAAATGCTGAAATAAGTAACCAGATGTCAGTCCTTGTCCTGAAGTTTGTTCATTTCTAGAATACAGCACTAGGGTATGTCAGCCTCCTACATACTACCTCAGTGTTCCTGCAGTCCCTCTTTACAGTGCTCTAAGACCTTAATTCAACGAAATCCTGTACCTATATGTTTTAACTACAACAATTGCCATGAATAGATGCTACGTTTTTATTGATTCCCCTACCCAGATGCCATTCCAGACATTAATCACGTGGTGTTTTGCTTTCTCGTAATAGTCTTTAATAGTCTTTAAAACAGGAGTGAGTAAACATTTCAGCTGGGGAGGCATCTTTGAGTATGGAAATTTTATGAGGGTGTTGCCATAAAATGCTCAAAAGAATAATAATTAAAGTGAAAGAAAATTTTGATAGGAGAAACATGCAAAACTATATAACCATAAAATGCTGCTAATGTACCGCAATAATGAAACCAAATGATCGCCATTTCTGTCTCCATCTGAGAAGTGATCTCATTGAAACATGTAAGATTCTGAAGATGCTTAGTAAGGTTGATACTGAGAAATTGTTTGCTGTATTCATAGAATCTAAACCCTCAGGGGTACAGTCTCAGGACAAGGGGTCAATCATTTAGGACTGATGTTAGAATATTTCCACTCAACGGGTTGTGAACCTTTTTGAGTCTCTACCCACTTATCAAAAAAAGTATTTTTAGTGCTGAGATAGAAAGATCGCTGGTTTCTTGGAATCAAGAGATATGGAGCGGGGGGGAAGGGTGGCAAAGTGGAATTGAAACCCAAGATCAATCACTATTATAATGAATGGGCAGGGCTGTCTCAGTGGGCTGAATGGCCTACTCCTGTTTCCTGTTCTCTTGGCTTGCATTACAGTATTCCTTCATGTAATCTTCCTTTCTCTCATGTTGATTGCACTCCTTGAGAAACCCCTGTGCCAGATGCACTAGAAAATCACCCGAAAGACCAGGCCAGAATCGCGTACATCCTTGTACTTGATAATTGTTATTTCGGAAACCAAACAAGAGCATTAGAAGAACTCGCAATGGACATTAGAAAACTCATTTTTGCTCCAGTTTTTGACAAGCTAATCATGAGGAGGTCTGATAGATCACAGTGCAGCCACTTGAGTTGATATCTCCCTTTCTCATTGACATTCCAATGAATACTGGAAGTCGGAGAGATTCACCAGAATCAGCTTGGAACTGTACCGCACTTGGAGCTGGCTCCTGCTGAGTTTGAAAGGAGTATTGAAAGGTGAATTGTAGTATCCCAGAAAATCTGTGAAATCATAGAAACATAGAATATAAGAGCAGGAGTAGACCATTCAGCCTTTTGAGCCTGCTCTGCTATTCAAAATGATAGTGGCTGATCATTCAACTCAGTCTGCTGTTCCCTCTTTCTCTCCATATGCCCTTCAGACCTAAGAACTATATCTCTTGAAAATCAATATTTTGGCCTCCATAGTTGCCTGTAGCAGAAAGTTGGTTGAATAGAAATTGATCCAAAGTATCACAAAGCAGAGAAAGGTTGATGTAAGGGAAATATTTTCAAGCCATGGCGGCTTAGTTCAGACAGGTGGAATCCATGGCCTGCAATATAAGGGGAGTCCTGGAGTATGCAAGTGTCCTTAGAACCCACATGACCAGAAAGTGCCACAAGATGCAGAAACTTGAGTTCCGAGACTCAGCCTTCGAGCAGCAGCTGGAGACACTGGCACATCTGTGAGGCTGAGAGTTATACGGATAACACATTCAGAGAGGTGGTCACACTGCAGCTGAAGGCACTGGGTGACTATCAAGCAGCGGAAGAGAAACAGACTTGTAGTTCAGGAGCCCCCTGGACTGCACCTCTCAAATCAGTTTTCTCTTTTGAAGGCTCAGATTCCTTGAGAGATCAGTCAGAGCCATGTTTGTGGTGCCACAATCAGCTTAGATTGCAGGAGCGGAGGAGGAAGAAATGATGACCAAAAGTGATAGGAGATTAATTAGAAGAATAGATCAACATTTTTGTTGCTATAGACATCATTGCTAGACACAAGGGAGATGCCAGAAGACCAGAGAATTGCAAACATTCGGCCCTTGTTCAAAAAAGGCTCTATGGATAAACCCAGCAAATATAGGCCACTCAGTTTGACTTCAGTGAAGTAACAGCAGATGACTGTGGATGTTGCAGATCTGAAATTGAAGTTAGTGCTGAAGACAGGCTGGCAGCATTCTGTGGGAAGAGAAAGTTAGCATTAAAGTCCCATGACTCTTCTCGGAAACTAAAGAACTTCAGTGGCTTGGCTTCTGTGACAGGGAAGCTTCTAAAAACAGTTATTCAGGTAGAATTAGTGGTCACATGGAAAATGGTGAGTTGATTAGCAAGATCTAGCTAAACTTTCTAAAAGGGGAATTGTGATGGACTAACTTGCTGGAGTCTTTTGATGCATTAATAAGATGCATGAGGCTAATACTTTGTTGTGGTGAAGATAGACTTTCAAAAGACAATTGATACGGTGCCACACAGACTTGAGAAAACTTAGCTCATGGAATTAAAGGGATAGTAACAATGTGGATACTAAATTGGTTGAGTGAAAGGAAACGGAGTAATGGTTAATAAATATTTTTCAGGCTGGAGCAAGATTTATGATGAAGATCCTCAAGGATTGGTATTTGGACCCTTTACCTGATATATGTTAATGATCTAGACCTTGGTGTGCAGGGGACAGTTTCTAAGTTTTGTATCATCCACAAACTTAGCATTGTAAACTGTGAGGGTGACAATATCGAAGTCCAAAAAGGCATAGGCAGTTTAGTTGGATTGGGCAGAAACGTGGCAGATGAAGTTCGATACAGAGTCATTGAGATCTGCAGCACAGAGAAAGGCCCTTTGGCCCACCACATCAAAAATAACTACCTTGATTTATTTGATTCATTTATAGTCCAGTGTATCTTGCTACAAAATACAGTGAGGAGTGTTATGTAGTGTCGCCATTCTCTGGCACCATCTTAAAACACAGTAAAATAAACCAAAACACAGATTATAATGGCAAAAAAATGAAGAAATAAACAAAAGTATCCAACTTTACAGTCCTCCTTGTTAAGTGTTCTGTCATGGGCCATGGGCTGGTGGCCAGGCATGAGTCCCCTTTACCGTGCCGTCACTGCTGGAATGAAAGTCACCACTCTTTGGCACCATCCCGCCTCCACCAGCGTCCTTCCCATTGAGTCCTCGATGGACCTTGCCCATGTAGATGCCATCGATGCTGCTGGATACCAAACCGGCATGGAAACTGGCCATAGGCCTGACTTGTTTGTGCCGACCACATTTCCTGAACTGAACAAGTTCCGTTTGCCTGCGGTTGGCCCATATCCCTCTAAATCTTTCCTATCCATGGACCTGTCCAAATGTCTTTTAAATGTCGTAATTGTACCTGCCTCTACCACCTCTTCTGGCGCTTGTTGCATATACACACCACCCTCTGTGTGGAAGATGTTGCCTTCCGACCCCTTTTAAATCCTTCCTCTTTCATCTTTTTAAAAAAAAAAGTCTTCTAGTTTTGAACTCCCCTATCCTGATGAAAAGACCTTGGCAATTCACCTTATCTATGTTCCTCATGATTTTATGAATTTCTGTAAAGTTACTCTTCAGCCTTCTACGCTCCAGAGGGAAAATGGTCCCAGACTATCTGACCTCTCCTTGTAACTCCAACCTTCCAGTTGTGGTGACATCCTTGTAAATCGTTTTTATATCCTTTCAAGTTTAATAACATCCTATGGCAGTGTGACCGAAGTGATTTGCAAATGTAACCAGTGTGATGCAAACAAACAAAAAGTCACAGAATGAATGGTTCAGGTCTGGAATGCATAGCCTGAAAGTGAAGTGGGGGCAGATGATGTTGACATGGGATAGTGCCAAGTTCTCTGAGCTTTGTGAACAACAGAAGTGTTTCTCAACTCGGCTAATTGAAGAAGACTAAACCATTTTGAGCATTCAGTGAATGAGAAATTGAACTGAAATCCTGTCTGCCAGAGAGGCATGATGTGAAACTTATATGGCAGCTTTGCAAAGAGCTGGAGTTCCCTTGCTAATAATCTGCCTCAGTCAGTTATTTATCTTGCTTTCCCTGGGACCTTGCTGTTTCCAGATTCCTGTCATTTTGCCTAAAATTACCAAAGACTAACCACTGCATTTTTGAAGAACTGATTGCTTGTGAAAGATTTTGATGGAAACAAAATTAAGTTATATGGTGTAAGCCTTTGGTTGATTTTAATACCATTTCTATCAGGTTGTTTTGCATTTGTATATCCTTTTCCCTGTTTGTCATGGGTATGATTCCTTTCTGATTGTTCACGTCTCTTCTCCCCTAACCCAAATTCCCTGCTCTGAATCCAGCCCTACTCAAACTTAATCCACACTAAAGAAGAAGCACATGTGGTCTTCATCAGTTTCTGGCTCTCTACGGAATCAAATATCCGGTTAATCACAGGATCCGAACCAAAACACATCCAGGAGACAGCTGTCCCCTTTCAGCACCAAAATCTTAGCAACTGAGAAATGCTTTCAAAGCTGATTTTTGCAGTTGGTGACTCTTGGATACTGTGTGGGGCCAGCTGACCTCTCCACAACCAGTCCCCTTCAGACAGAAGCTCCATAGAATCATCATGAAATCACAGAATCCCTACAGTGTAGAAGCAGGCCATTCGGCCCATCGAGTCTACACCGACCCACCGAAGATCATCCCACCCAAACCTACCCCCAACCCTATCCCTGCATTTCCCACCCTAGACATAATGGACTGCGTGCGGAAACCAGAGCACCCGGAGGAAACCCATGCAGACACGGGGCGAATGTGCAAACTCCACACAGACAGTTGCCCGAGACTGGAATTCAACTTGGGTCCCTGGTGCTGTGAGGTAGCCAGTGCTAAACACTGAGCCACCGTGCCACCCCAAGGAGCTGGTTGCAGTCTGCATTGTACATTGTTGTGGTTGTGCTTCATGGGAGACGTTTAATTTATGTTGACATCCTGAGAGTGTGTGGCTCTGTCTGCACCTTTTGTGTGTGTTTCTCCCTGAGTGCATATCTCTGTTTGTGTCTCTCCATGCATGCCTGTGCCTTGCTCACACTGACTTCTCCTCCCCTCCCCCTCTGTGGGGATGGCTTGGGGGACGGAGGTTGGCTGTCAGCCTCCATGTGTGGGTTTGATCAAACATTGTATGGGACAAAAGTTTGTCTTTGTTCCTTGGCCTTTTAAGGTTGCAGCTATTCCTAAAGTTTGAAACAACTTACAACTCGCTGTTTCCCTTTCCTATAGTTACTTGCTCTGTCAGATATCTCCAGTTGTCTTGGAATTTTCTGACCCTAACTGTCTCAACATGCATTTTCATGTCTCACTTCCGGTGCCCTCCTGAAAATATGGTCACTTGAAGTAATTAGGTTTTGAATTAAATTGAGTGGGAATTTGGCTAATCTTGAGTTAGTGCTCGCCTTTGTAGAATTTATCATTTCAGATAGATTATTTGCGTTCTACTATGTGCAATCTTGAATGAGTCCCTTGTCTTTTCTTTAATGTAAACCACTTCAATTTCCATTAATTGAGTGATTTGAGCGTGTATTAAAATTAATCGTCATTTGCAGTATGGGAGTGAGGGGGCTACATTTTATCAACTCTATACCAGATGTCTCAAGCTGGAATACAGAGACTAACTGAAGCCAAACTGAAGAGGGATTGTATAAAAAAATAAATGGCTATTCATCCCATAAATCTCATTGCACCTGCTGATTGTGTATGGATTGCCCCCTTCAGTAAAATCCATCATTTGTTTATTTTTCTGTATCCAGGTTGCACGGACGATATTGTGACAAGTGACCACTCGCCAGCCTTTGGCACTTTCGAAGTTGGTGTGACATCACAGTTTGTATCCAAAAAGGGTGAGTGTGTTCACATGGAGCATCAAAACAGGGAAGAGGCCATTCAGCCCGTTGATGCTGCTCCACAAATCAGCAAAACTGCAACACTCTGTGCCTAGGCTAATCTATATAACCCAATCCCTTTATCCAAACAAAAACTGCCCATCTGATTGTTGATGTTCAGTGACCCCTGGAACTTTGGTGGCGAAGAACGTTGCAAGTTTCCTTCATGGCTGCCTTGAGTAGAATTGATTTGTGAACCAGGATGCTGAACGTGATCAAGGTGTTCAAATGATGCTGGGGTCACTGGTGGGGGATACTGAAGCCAGGCCAAGCCTGTTCACCTCCATCCACTCCCCCTGCCCAAAGAATTGCAAGTGTCATCAGGGGTATAACTGAATCCAGGCTGTTCCTCACTTTTGGTACTAAATGCTGCATCAGCACTGGGAAAGGTACTGCATTGTTGGAGAGGCAGTGCTGAAGGAGCATAATATTGTTTGAGCAGTGGTATTGTAGGCAACTGGCACTGCTGGCAGGGCTGTAGTGCAAATGTGTAACATTGTGAGAGGAGCAGTACAATGGAAGTGCCACACTGCTGAAACATAGCAACATAGGAGCAGTAGTAGGCCGTTCGACTGTTTGAGCCTGCTCTGCCATTTAGTATGATCGTGGTTGATCCTCTGTTTCCATGCCATATTCCTGCTTTCTCCGTATACTCCTTGATAACTTTAAAATCTAAAACGTATCTATCTCTTTTATGAATATAGTGACCTGGCTTCCATTGTCTTCCGCAGTTGAGAAGTTTACAGGTTGACCGCCCTTTAAGTAAAGAAATGTTTCCTCATCTCAGTCCTAAATGATCTATACCATAGATATAGAGGCATAGATGAGGTGGATAGTCAGAGGCTTTTTCCCAGGCTGGAAAGGCCAACTACAGAGGGCACAGTTCAAGGTGAGAGCGGGAAAGTATAGGGGAGAATTGCAGGGAAAATTTTTCGTGCAGAGGGTGGTGGATACCTGGAACACACCGCCAATGCAGTTGGTAGAAGCAAGCACTTCAGCAATGTTTAAGGCATACCTTGACAGACACGTGAACAGGTGGTGAATAGAGGGTTAGGAATTGGTGCAGATTTGGTGGGCTGAAGGGCCTGTTCCTGTGCTATATTGTTCTTTGTTCTTTTTTTGTTCTTTGTATCCTGAGTCTGTGTCTCTAGCTGTTAGACTCCCCAGCAAGAAAAAATATCCTCCCTGCATCTAGTCTGTTGATCCTCTTTAGAATTTTATAATGTTTCAATTAGATTTCATCATTGTTCTAAACTGTACAGGCCCAGTTGAACCAGTCTCTCCTCATATGACTGTCCTGCCATTTCCAGTATCGGCTTTGTGAACCTCCGCTGCACTCCCTGCTTGGCAAGAATATCCTCAAAACTGCTGGAACTACTCCATGTGTGGTCCCATCAAGACCCAATATAACTGCAGGTGGCTCAGGGTTAGCACCGCTGCCTCTCAGCACCAGGGACACGGGTTTGATTCCACCCTCTGGCAACTGTCTATGTGGACTTTGCACATTCTCCCCGTGTCTCAGTTTCCGCTGGGTGCTCCGGTTTCCTCCCACAGCCCAAAGATGTGCAGGTTAGATGGATTGGCCATGCTCAATTGCCCCACTGTCCAGGGGTGTGTATGTTAGGTGGATTGGCCATGGAAAATGCTGGTTTATAGGGAAAGGGTAGGGGGATGGTTCTGGTTGGGATGCTCTTCAGAGGGGCGGTGTGGACTTGTTGAGCCAATTGGCCTGTTTCCACGCTGGGGATTCTATGCAGTAAAACATCCCTACTTCTCAACTCAAATCCTCTTGCAAAGTAGGCCAACATACCATTTGCCTTCCTTGTTACTCACTGAGCTTGTTTGTTTACTTTCATTGATGGGTGCAAAGATTGTCAGATCCCTTTGCACATCCACCATTTAAATAATATTGTCTTTCTGCTTTTCACATCAAAGTATCTAAGTTTCACATTTACCAACATTATTCTGAATCTGTCGTGTTTGCCCACTCTCTCAATTTGTCTAGATCACCCTGAAGCCTCCTTGCACCCTCCTCACAACTCTCAATTTAATCTCACTTTGTGTTAATTTCTATCTGGGAAATATGGCATTATATTCCCTTATCCAAGCTATTTATAGACACTGCAGTTAACTAGGGCCTAAGCACTGATCCCAATAGTCATTGCCTGCCACCAAGATAAAGCTAAATTTATTCTGGTTTCCAGTCAGTCAACCAATTCTCAATCAATGCCAGTATGTTACCCCTATCCCATGTGCTTTAATTTTGTCTACGAGCATGTTGTTCACATTTATCTATGCATCCACAGTGATCTGCTGTACTTTAGTCAAGCATGATTTCCCTTTTATAAATCCATGCTGACTTTGTCTAATCCCATTAATGCTCTGCAAGTGTTTTGTTAGCATGTTATAAGGGAGCACGAGGGTAATGTCACACAAATGGCAGGGCGTGGTAGTTTTGCCATGGTGGCAGGGGAAGTCCCACACTGTCAGGAGTGCTTAAGCATTGCACTGGTGGCCCCTACTGGGGAAGTACCACATCATCAGAGGGCCATTATGAAGGGAGTTTTGCACTGTTGTAGGGTCATTATTGAGGAATACTACACTGTTGGAGAGTCAGTATCGAGGGAGTGCAGCATTGTTGGAGGGTCAGTCTATCAGATGAGATGTTAAACTGAAATACTGTTTTATCCCTAAGGTAGATGCAAAAGATTTCATAGCACTGGTGTCTTTTTCAATATCTATCCCTTAACCAAAATCAGAAAAAACATTATCTGGTCATGCAGTGTGGTAGTGGTCTGAGTCTGCTGCCTGTCATCACTTTGTTGTTGATTATAAAAATAACACTTCAGTTATTTATTCACTAGTGGGTGTTGAGAATGTGTAATTCTGTGCCACATAGTTGAGGCACATAGCATAGATTAATGCATGAGTTTCATGGAACTGTAATTGAATGTGAGTTGAGGAGTAGTGAGCATTTACATGAAGATTATAGACCTGTTGAACTGAATGGAGTGCATGAATTAAAAGCAGTGTAGAGTGAACAACAAGCATCTTGACAGTGCAATAGCTTGGAAGATAAAGCTTTGACTGAGAGTGAGCTTTTAATGTCTGTAGCTGCACATGAATCAATCATGGTTATTGTGATTGTGTGTTGCAGACAAATATAAAGAGACACCGTCAGTCAATATGAATGTGAGGGGCCTGTTATTTGTGTTCTATATTGTGTTACTTGAAGCAGCTGGGATTGTTTACTGGGGTCACAGTTGATGCAAATGCAGACATGCATGACAACGGTGATTATGTGAATGCGATCGCTTATCATTCATGGTTGCTCCACTAAAGGTGCTTCTGACGAACCCGACACGCTGGTCTGCTACGGTTAGCTGGTGAAGAGTGAAGCTTGTCACTGAAACTAGCTGAGAGTATGGACGTGATCAACAGTGCATTATGATCCAGGCTTTGTTAGAATGTGACAACCATCTCATTGAAGGGTCATGGTAGCAGAATCATTACCTTACTCAACTAGTAATCCAGAGGAATAACAGTCCCACTGCGGCAACTAGGAAATTTAATTGCTGTTCATTTAAAAGAGCCAGAATGTAAAGCTGCTGTTAGTAAACTATCTGTTTGTCATTAAAACCTAACCAGTTCTCTAAAGTCCTTAAAGCAAATAAATTTGCTGTACTTGTCTGCTCAGGGCCTATGTGATTCCACACCCACAGCAGTGTGGTTCACACTTAACTGACCTCTGAAACAGCCGAGCAAATACTCATTTGTGATGTAAGTAGTAAATGATGACCTTGCCGGTGACACCAGCATCTCTTGAATAGATTTAAAAAGATCTAAAACTAAGTGCCACTGGCTTTAAAATGATTTGTAAGGGACTTTTTCTTTTCATCTTCCTTATTCTCACTGGAACATTGTTGGGAACTGGACACATGCTTGTGTCTTGCCCAAGTTGCTATATGAGAAACCAGGATCCTAACTAATTAACCATGGTTGCAGTTTGAACTGGATCTGACTCTGGCTGGCATCAGCAATCTCTGGATGGCCTGGGGACCATATTTGGGAGTAGTCCGGTCTTGAGATAAGCCTTTCACAAGCCAACAGACCCAGTATTGAGGCAGCGATTGTTCAAAACCAGCACCGGTTGGTTAGACAGGTTGTATGAACTTAATCACGACATACATTATAAAACTGATACTTTATTCAATCATCCTGGGTGTTGAGAATGTGAAATTCCCTGTCACATGATAAAGGCGCATGACATAGATTAATGCATGAGATTCACAGAAAATGCTCTAGAGTTGTTCTAAGGAGTTTGCCATCTCCACCAGAAGATCCTGGCTTGTGATGTAGATAATTGGAGCAGGAGTAGGCCGTTCAGCCCATCAAGCCTACCTCATCATTCAACATGATAATGGCTGATCTTCTGTCTCAATGCCACAGTCCTACTCTCTCCCTTTCCCCTTTAAATTCTAGAAATCTATTTTTTATATATGTTCAGTAACTCTGACGCCACTACCTTTTTTCTGGTCGAGAATCCCACGAGCTTGAAGCCAAAAGATTGCTAAGAAAGAGGAAGTCTGGTCCTTAGGTTTAAGTAAAGCATTTTGGGGTGAGGTGCCCCTATGTGAGTGATACAAACTATGTATGATTGTGTGGGTGACTGTATTTGAGTGAATTAAGATTTAATATTCTTGTTGGTCACCTTCAGTCATCTTTGAGGAGATAGAGAGTAAGCTACTGCTGCACCTCAGGACTGAAATTGATTTTTTTTTTGGGGGCGTGGGCACTGAGGAAATTAAGGGATTTGTTGATAATCGGAAGTTGTTGTGAAGGGTCAGCCGGGACGATGAACAGCAGGACAGGTTCGCAAGTCAACGTATCCTGCTGAGACTTCTTGAATCTTTATATAAGTTGTTTTGTCCAGCGAGATGTTTAATAAAAGCACATAGAGCCTGTATTGCGTTGAGTTTTGAGCTTGGGAAATCCTGTTAGAACTGTACAAGGTTTTGAGACCACACCTGGAGTGCTGCGTACAGTGTTGGTCCCTGTTTTTAAAACAGGATGTATCGGCACTGGAGGCTAACCAGAAGATACCCACTTGGATGATCCCTGGGATGAAGGCGTTGACTTATCTAGAATGGCTGAACAGGTTAGTTCTTTTGTTCATTAGAATTCAGAAGAATAAGGATAATCTTATTGAAACACATGAGATTCTGAAAGGACTTGGTAAATATTGGGAGTATGTTTCCATAATCGGGAAAATCTCAAATTAGGGGACGTAGTTCTAGAACAAGGGAACTCTTATTTAAAACTGAAATGGAAGGAATTTATTCTCCCAGAGGGTAATGAATGTCTGGAGTTGTCTACAGTAGAGTTGTGGAGGTGAGATGACTGAAGGACTTTAAAGAGGAGATAGAGTTTTGAAGCATCAAGGAGTTAAGGGCTACGGTTAGTTAGCATGAAAGAGGAGTTGACGCCCTGAGGCAAATCAGCCATGATTGAATGGTGGGACTAGCTTGAAGAGCCAAATGGACGACTACTCCTGTTTCTTGTTATGTTCTGACCTGGCCTCGGACTCAGTGATGTTACTAACAAGGTAAGAAATCAGTCTGGCTGCTCGTAACTCATTGCTGGCTCACCTTTATACACAGGTCTCTCCAAAACATCTGACCAGGCTTACATTGACTTTGAGAATATTGAAGCCATTGTGAAAACTGCCAGCAGGACTAAGTTCTTCATTGAGTTCTACTCTACCTGTCTGGAAGGTGAGTGATGACAAATGGAAGCCCCAGCTCTTACTTCCTTGAGCCTCCTGTCCCATTCTGTCTCCCCTTTCGTCACACCCTGCCATCCTCTCTCCACCACCACCCCCCCAACCCCCGCATCACTCACGAAAACTGACACCACCACCACACCACAGCCCCCCGCCCACCACCAGCCCCAGCCCCATTCTTTACTGCTGCAGCAAACAAACAGCATTTGATGTTTCTTCACAGTTGTCTGCATAAATTGGCTCTTTAAGTCCAGTTTTGAACAGTCCATGTTAACAGGAGGCTTGAGGTACCCAAGAAGCATCTGGGGTCTAACCAGCCCCTTTAGGGGGAGATGGTGATGTAGTGGAAATGTCACCAGACTAGTGATCCAGGGACCCAGGCTAATGTATTCAAAACTATTTCGGGAGCAGGTAGAATTGCTAAATTGAAGGGCTCCTCTCATGAGGAAAGGTTGGGTACGTTTGTTCTGTATCCACTGGGGTTTAGAAGAATGAGAGATGATCTTTTTATGAAACATTTTAAATCCTGAGAAGAGTGACTTACTCCTGTTCAAAGCTTGTATATTTCTTTAGGAAAGAAAATCTCCTAACCTTTTGTATTCACTTGTGGGACATAGGCATTGCAGGCTGGCCTAGCACTTATTGCCCATTCCTAGTTATCCATGAGAAGGTGATGGTGAGTCACCTTTTTGAATCATTGCAGTCCATGTGCTGTAGATAGACCCACAATGCAACTGGGGAGGGGGGTGTTCAGTGATAGTAGCGCCGTTCAATGTCAAGGAGCAATGGGTACATTGTCTCTTATTGGACATGATCATAGCCTGGCATTTATGTGGTGTGACCGTCACTTTCGACTTTTCAGCCGAAGCCTGGATATTGTCCGGATCCTGTTGCATTTGGACATTGACAGCTTCAGTCAGTCTTACGGGGTCTGACCTGTTTGACTCCGCACTCTGTGATGCTACAGACTGCTCTCTGTAGTGGCTGAGCAAGCCACTGAGTTGAATGCAGCTATGAATTTACAATAAATGCAGGCCTTGACAGTGAGATCTTTCTGAAGAAAGAATTAAGTTTTTCTTTTTTTAAAGAAAAATGGTCACTGCAGTGTTCCAAGAAAGGTCTTTTTTGTTATTATTTAAGGCTTTATTTTGCTTTTCAATCTAATTTTGCTGATCCAGTCCATATTACCTGGCCAGAATCTATCAGAGTGGTGGGTTCCATAGCAGGAATGCCAAATCACTGAGTATAGGAGCCCAGCCGGTCCAGACACAGATCCTTGAACACAATGTGTTTGTATCTGAGAGAAAAATATCAATCCATTTGGTTCTCTCATGGACTTGTGGGAAAGTTTTGCTACAGTTATACAGGGCTTTAGTGAGACCTGGAATATTTTGTGCAGTTTTGGTCTTATCTGAGGAAAGATGCTGTTGCTATAGAAAGAGTACAGCGAAGCTTTACCAGACTGATTCATGGGACAGCAGGACCGACATATGAGGAGAGCTGGAATGGGTTAGGATTATATTTACCAGAGTTCAGAAGAATGAAGGTGAATCTCCTAGAAACCTACAAAATTCTAATGGGACTAGACAGGGTAGATGCAGGAAGGATGTTCCCAATAACAGGGGAGTCCAGTACCAGGGGTCACAGAAAAAGGATACTAGGTAGGTCATTTAGGAATGAGACGAGAAATTTCTTCACCCAGAGAGTGGTGAGCCTGTGGAATTTGCTGCCTGAGAAAGTAGTCGAGGCCAAAACATTGTATGATTTCAAGAAAAAGGTGGACATAGCACTTGGAGTTAAAAGGATCAAAGAACATGGAGGAAAAGCGGGAACAGGCTATTTAATTAGATAGTCATGCAGCATGGAAACAGATCCTTTGATCCATCTTGTCCGTGCCAACCAGGTGTCACAATCTGACCTAGTCCCATTTGCCAGCATTTGGCCCATATCCCTCTGAACCCTTCCTATTCATGTACCCATCCAGATGCCTTTTAAATGTTGTAATTGTACCAGCCTCCATCACTTCCTCTGGCAGCTTGTTCCAGATGATCAGCCAGTGATCATAAATAAATGGCTTATTCCTCTTAATTATTAATGTTCCTGTGAAAGAAAGGAATCTGACCGTACGAGTGTCTGGTCCAACAACAACTTCACTGACACTTAGTTTCCGCTTTAGTAGTTTAAAGGGAAGCTTGAATTTATCAAATTGCTGTAGATAACAAGGTGTAGAGCTGGATGAACACAGCAGGCCAAGCAGCGTCAGAGGAGCAGGAAGGCTGACGTTTCGGGCCGAGACCCTTCTTCAGAAAAT